GGTTAATTTAGTTGACCCAATTGTGAAAAAACTCGCGGCATTCGGCGGGATTGGAACCCCATAGGAGAGCAGCCTTTTACAGCAAGCCAATGCTCTACCTACTTGAGCTACGAATGTCGCGCTTCACACCGTGTGTGCCACGCACATGCGGTGCGGAAAATGCGCACAGCTGTTAATGTGCCCTCGTCTGCCAGTACTACTTACACGACTGTGGGGGTGGTTACAGGTAGGATGCAGCTGTCGATCGAGGGCGGCCGGTCATGGGTAAAGTGAAAACTGGTGTTAGTCTTCCTCGTCGTGGAAACCGTGGGATTTGAAACAGGGGTGGCAGAGTATATGCTCGTTTATGCAGACGTTGATGTCGGGCTGTGATCGTGTTGCTCCCGAGGATGTGCGACGAGGTCAATTCGCTCGCGAATGGAGCGTGAGCACCGTGGAAATTCGATAGTCTTGGGCATTGGCAAGTACAGCTGTGTTTTTGAGTTTTGAGTTGCCCTTTAGCTTTTAGGGCTTCGGAGATTGCTGCGCCAGTTCTTACCGCCCTTCTTCAGACTTGTTGGTCCTAGTTGAGATCATTTCATGTCGCCGGGTTGATAAGCATTTGATCCACAGAGGTTTTCAAAGTTTCCTTGTAGCATCGTTTTATTTTCGTCAGTGTGCACTCGCAGCGACATTTCCCTAGTGGAGTCATTTGGGCAGTCGCTAATCGTCCATCCTCCCCAGGCGGCCTCTCCATCGCATTTGCATTTGACTCAGCATGGGATGGTTGCTAAGGCTTAAGGTTCGTTCCGGGACTTTCGTGTTCAAACACCTGTCCTGTCGTTTTGACTGCATTGATTTTTAGTCCAAAATTGATGCAGTCGGCGGAGAAGAGGTTCATACCCTTTTACATGTCCTCTTTCGCAGAAGCGTTGTATGCGCACACATCCACATATAGAAACAGGTCGTGGACTGTAGCCGTAGACACATGCGTTGGGACCCGCATGCACAGACTCTTGAGGAGGTGCCCGTCAGGTCTGCGTGCACTGCAGATTCTAGGACACTCATCACGGTAAGCGTACACCAACATGGAAGAGGCCCGTGCAAATGAAGATGATGAGAATCAGTACGCCGCCCTGCTTCACTCCGTTTGTCACTGTGAATGGTTAGGAGACTGTCCCGTTTCCAGTGACACACACTATAATTCCGTCGTGGAGCTGACACAACATGTCTGTTAACCGCGCAGAACAGCCGAATGTCTGCATGAATTTCTACAGCTCATTGCAATTCACCGTGTTGAAACCTTTTGTCAGATTCAGGAAGATAGTGTAGAGGTGAGTATACATCTCCTGGCACTTATCTTGCACCTGAAGTTTAATAAAGATCATGCCGGTTGTTGCGCGGTGTCCGTGCATGAGATGGCAGTCCAGACCATTAAGCCGAACGCGAGCGAAAAACCTTCCAGCGATTTTGAGCAGCGAGATGCCTGTCGTTACGCCAGCGTTGCCGGTTCCCTTTCCGCTTGTAGAGATGGACGATAGTTGAGTACTTGAAACCCTGAGGAACTTGATCTTGGCGCTGAATTTCCTCGATTATCACTGTTATTTCCGCCGTGAGCCAGGAAAAATCACACTTATAGACTTCCGCTGGAATTGAGTCGGATCCTGCTGCTTCCCCGCTGGAAATTGTTTGTGCTTCTCGGATGTATTCTGCTAGGATAGACGGCGATCCCGGTCATCGGTCGTTTCCCCTTGGAGCGCTAGTGAATGGCAGCATTGGAGATGGCTGATGAGCGCTTTTGCACACTTCTGAAATGATTGACTTTGCGCTTTCAAAATTGATGATTTCTTTATC